TTACTTAATGACCGTTCTAAGTTACAACAGCACTGAAAAAAGGACTTAACGCCTGTTTTTCACACCTACGACCGTCGCAGCATCCCCAGAGTCACATGATCAAAATTCAGGCGCTTGGCACCTGGCTCATATTTATGACGGTTGCAACATCCCCGGGCCATGCGCCCTTTTGCGCCCTTCTGACGAGGCAAGTCAACGAGGAAGCAAGATTCACTTAACAACCATGATACTGAGTGTTTCGCTTAACAACTGTGGGATGAAAGGCCGGAAGATGGGGCAAAATTCACTGAAGTGTCTCGCTTAGCAACGGAAATGTGGGGCTCCATTGTGGTCGTAATTCGAGGACTACCTGAAATCTGTATTTTTCACCAGCTGAGAGGGAATATTCAGTCTATTAAAAAAAAAATTAAACTTTTGCCAAAACTCACAGAGGAAAGTGGGAGAAAAATTCCTGGTGGAACGAGAGCCTGCTGTCAGCTCCAAGGGTGACAATTTACTGTGCCCGCTGATTGTCATAAAACAGAATATCTGGATAAAATTAGATTTACTAGGAGGAAGTGAAGCTCATTCAAGCCTCGGGCATAATTTGACTCATAAAATTAACGGCCAAAACAATATCATGTGGATGGTGCCTGGTCAGGTCGACTCCATATATCATTTGACAGTTTTAGCAAACCCTGGCAGGCGGGGATGGAGTTTTCTTCGCCTCTTGGTGGGAGAAAGTGATGCGGTAAGATAAAACGATCAAAAGTGAAGAGGGGGAAGCTCCGCTCGTCACTTGGGGGCCTTTTGGAAGGAGGGAACGGGGAGTTCAATTGCACATCACCTTTCCACCATCCTGTAGGGGCCGATCTGTCACTGCTGTAACTCAATCACGGAGGAGGAGGGGTCAAAAAAGTCAAAATGGCCACCAAATCATTGAACCCACCTTCCTTCCTTCCCTCCCTCTGCCCTCCCTCCTTCCCTTCTTTTCCCTTCCTTCTTTCCATCCTTTCCTTCCCCCCACCCTCCCTCTCTCTTCTTTCTGTTTCCTTCCTTCCTTCCTTCCTTCCTTCCTTCCTTCCTTCCTTCCTTCCTTCCTTCCTTCCTTCTTTCCTTCCTTTCTTTTTGTTTATGAGGGAACGGGAACATGATAGTCGTCCTTCCAAGCTTATAGGTACCATAATGCTCATAATGGATGGGTCTTCCTCCTTGCTTCCTTCCCTTTTCTCCTCCTCCTCCTCCTCCTCCTCCTCCTCCCCCCC